AACAATGACAGTGAGTTCCATAGACCCATCTCTCAAATTTTAAATAAGGGATGAGAGGAGAACCATGAGGGATAATCCACTTGTTTTTCCAACACACATAGTGGCAGTGGTTAGATAACCTAGGGTTTCTCTCATGCATGGCTTTCAAAACTGTATTGATTGCTACAACATATAATTAGAACAAGGCCAAATACACAGAACTCCATACATCAAAACTCAAACCTTTAAGAATGCAAATTTTCTTCCACATGAAGATATAATGATGATTTGCATGCATGACTTGGAGCATCCCTAAATGTCTATCAGTAAAACATACACTGGATCAATATTTGTTGTAAGGCATAAAAAAGTAACTATGCAGGGAATCAGAGATAATTAAAACAAGAATATTCCTCTTCCTCCTGTCTCCATGCTCAAAAATTCTAGAAATGGTACATCTCTAATCTTCCTGCTACATTATTTTTAAGCATCATTTCAGAGAGTATATGTCAGATAGTATTACATGAACAAACACATTTATTCTTTGTTCTGAAAGAAAAAAAAATAACTTTCTTAATTTTTCACAAAAAGTGAAAAGAATTCTTTAAAAAAATGGGGGAGCAGGTTTTTTCCCCCAAGGTCAAATGGCATTTGAGACACAGAGTACTTTTCACCTCCTGGACAGAAATGACTAAATTATAGTTACCCATGGTCTGATAACTTACAGATTCAACTACCGTAGTGTATTTTACATAAGGCTGCCTTTGAAGACTACTTGGAAAAATATGCCCCTGGGCTATTCACTAAGACAGGCCATTGAGAATACATCTTGACAGTTTCTTAACAGTACCATTTGCACTGGTCCAGTTCTGAGCATAATTCAAAGTTTAGCAAGTTAGGTGACTGGATCAAATGTTTTACCAATTGTAGCACCCTGTTTTTGGAATACTCACCTGGCACCCACCTTCTCTTTTTCTGACACCAGGCAAATTCCAACTTATTTCCCTTTCCAATTCAGTTTTCTAAATCCTGAATTATAAACCTAGCACACATGTATAGTTGGAACATAGATAACTGAGTTAGAATTGCTATCATTCCAAGAAACCTATCATGCTAAAACTTTCAAGAACCTAACTTTAAAGTTCTGCCTCTATAACTTATAAGCTCTGTCTCAGAGCTTGCACAAATGGAAGCTATTAACAAAGGGGTTTTTTTCAGTTCTCCCATTCAATGTACCTTCCTGTACCCACAAAAGCTTCTCCAGAAGGAGTCAAGAGATTCTTAGGAAATGCTGCAATCAGAAAGGCAGAATCAGAAACCATCAGCTAGAGCTAACCCAAGTGGCTTCTGCCTGTTCACCCAATTAACACACATTCAATTTTCCTTCCTGTTGCAGTCCCACATTTGTAGTTTAGTCGCAAAGTTGTGCCCGGCCCATCATGACCCCATGGACAACATTCCTCCTGGCTCCCCTGTCCTCCACCATCTCTCAGAGTCCACCCAAGCCCAAACCCACCACCCCACCCTCCTCATCCTCTACCATCCCCTTTTCCTTTTGTTGTCAATCGTTCGCAGCATCAGGGTCTTCTCCAGTGAGTACAGTCCCACATATCCCACCCCAAACTTTCCTTTATATTATAAGAACAAAATCAGAATTTCAAAAAACTGAATATCCTGAAGTTTCTTAGACCAAATATTTTTCTAAAAAAAAGATGCAAGGCAATTCAGATGGAGCCATCCACCGAAAATTCAATTAACAATATGAATTGTCTATGATTTTACATAATACTGCATATGAACAATTCCAGTATCCTTGAAATTATGGCATTTAAGAGGTATTTGCCTTTTTAATTATTTGAGAAGCATAAGAATCTCTGATGTCCCTCTAACTAAAGGACAAATCTAGAGTATTCAGATTTGAAGGATGGTACTTGACAAAAAGGGGGGAAAAACACCACTGGTGAAGCATCAACTGTGATCCACTTTCATTTACCACTCTAGGTAAAACTATTTTCAGGTGTCAAAAATATTTAGAATGGTTCTTCAGAAAATCTACTTAAATCTTGGAAACTCACAGCATTATAGGAAAAGAACCTAACAAACATAGGAATATTTTATGTCATTTTTACTTCACTTAGAGAGATACTTCATCTTAATTTTAGCCTCTTCAGAGCAAGATAGCTGTAAAGCACACCAACCAGAATAGCATTATAGCCATTTTTATAAAAGATAGGGAACTATCATCATACAGGAATACTAGAAGCAAGCAGATCAAAGTACTTTCACAATCTCAGTGTGCTTACAATACAAGGTTTTATGTCAATATATGCCAACAATGCCAAGCTCACACATTTCTCAAGAGCTGCATAGTTCACAGAAAATACTTTTGAACCATACCATAACCTATGGAACAGTTTAACAAGCAATTCCCTATTCAGAAAAACTCACCTATTTCAAAAACAGCACTAAAAGCACTCTCAATTAAAGTTCCAAGAATAAGTTTATCTCCTCAGTCAAGAATTGTCAACAAGTTATAAGTATCATCAAATCAATTACTACAGGCAAGAATGTTCAATTTCATTTTTAATATTGTTCCCCTTTTTGTATTTTGGATAGGGTTTTCCATTATTTTCATCTAACTCAATTTCAAAATCTTTTCAAGTCAATAAGCAAAAACAAGGTTATTGAATTTTAACCTGAACTGTACAAGTCAGAATGTTATCTTCCTCCTATGACCAAGCAATGACAAAAATCTGACCAAAATACAAATATAATTCACTTTTTCTAGTACATTAATTTGTAGTATTGTAAAGTTCATAGATGGGCAGAAGGGAGAGTGCTGACCACCTGCTGGTGCCAAATATGGAGTTAGACTTAGTCTTAGTTAGAGCAGATTCACCCAAATAAACTGGACAAAAGTTCCAATTAGTTTGGATCTAATATCACTTGAATGAAAGTCCAACATGGCTTCTCCATCCTCTCCATCCCACCTTTCACAACCTTCCTCAACCCCCTGGAGCAGACCTTGGCAGACTGAAAAGAAGGGAGGGGAAATCCATTCCCCTCAGTGATTTTCCTTCCACAGACAGAACACAATAATTTGATTTCAGTATCTACAACAAAGTCTGAATCCAACTTTAGCATTCCTGTAGAAAATGCTAAAAAGTGGACCCAAATGCTAAAAAGGCTGTATCCTGCAACCAGGCCAGTTTTGCTCTAAAAGAAGACTATCCACTCAAACTCATTTAACACAGATTTGTAACTGCATTTTATATGCAACTTTCATTTGTAAATTTAACACACAACTGCACTATGGGAATGCTTGCAAAAGAAACAGATCATGCAAGAATGAAGTCAGTCATACCCTGACAGAGTTCACTCAAGCAGTTCTTGCAATGAATGAACAATTTACCAGTGAAGATTATATGTTGTTGTGGAAATGTATGTGCTTTTAGTTTCCAGCTTCTCTGGTATAACCATCTCCTAATCGAAAGAAGAAAGCAGAGTTTAAAGGGCAAACAGAGATCTGTAACAAAAAGACCTGAAAGATGCCATCCATTAAGATGCCTACTGAAAGGCCCTACTTAATCATGTGGTTCAGGGTTCAGCTGATGCTGAATTATGGTCCTGGCTATGGGTCTTGCTGCATTCCTCCACCCACAATACTAAAATTCTTCATGGAAGTAGCAAGGATCTCCCAACCCTTTACTGGGTAAGTGAAGTTATATCAGTCATTCAGTACACTAGAAAGAATGTAACCAAAAAATAGAATCCATCAATGCTCCAGAAATGAAACATGCTTGCCCAACTATTATATCCTACTATCCTTTCCCACAGAATTACAAGAATAGGTAAAAGATGACTTACATTCTGTCTTGTTGACCATGACTGAGGATTAAACACCAGTTAAAATATACGGTGAAACCTCTCAAATACAAGAACAGGACATCAGACAGAAATGGCATTAAAAAGAACAAAATACAAAGCAATGACCAGAACTGTAATCTGTTTAAAACACAAACCTTTTCAAAATGACTTGAAAGAGGGATTGATATTAATTGCAAAATGGGTAGACTGAGACAAATACCAAAGGATCGAACACTTTCACCTGTCTCACCCCACCACCATGGAGTTTGATAAAGCCTGCGGCCTAAAGACACTGTTGAAAGGAGAGAGGCAATAATGTCAAAACTGGAATGTAAGTGGGGCTTGAAAGAGGACTAGCAATCTTTAATTCCTCTGATGAAAGATAGGGAATAAACTGAGACTAAGGTGAAAGCTGGGAGGAAAGCTGCCAGTCAACACTTTTAGGTTAACTATGGAGCATTCTATTTTGCCTCTATGAACTGGAGATTTATCTGTTCTTGTAAATACTATGTATTTTTTATTTCTCTATTAAGTTTCATTCTCCTTAGTGTTAAATTGTTGGATTAGGTTAGTTTATTTGTAGTGTTGTACTGACACTATGTTTCTTTTGTAAAACAGTAACACATTACTGTTCAGTTGCTGTGAGCTGCTCAGAGCAAAATCTTGTAAAAAACAGTACACAAAGGTGATGGCAATTAGAAAATTATCACACTTCTCAAAGAAATTTCACAGTACATGTCATCTACACAAATCCAGCCAGATTCTCTGACTAGTGAGTATGATAAAAATGAAATAAGCAAATGCAAAACAAAATGAATGGTTCAGAAAAAGAAACTCAACCTTATTATGGCAGTTTGCAGGTGGAACATGACTGTACCAATTCTACAAGATCAAAGGAAAGCCAAGTTTATCAAAGTATCAAAAAATCTGATAACATGTTAAAACTTAAGTTCACTAACATAGCTGTTGTTACTATGTGGGGGGGGGAATGAAGGAGGAAAGTAAGTATGGATCAACACATATTAAGATGATCCTTACCAACCTATTCTGTGGGGTACACAAATTTAAGAAATACTTCTTTAAGAAAGGATCCCTTTCCTCTTCACATAGATACAGCATTCATGCGTAGGCCCTCCCCCCACCGCTAGAATTACCTGATCACAGGACTGTAGGGGCTGCGAGAGCGGCGCCAACTGCTGTAAGGGCTGGGTGACACATCTCCACCTCGCTCGAACGAACTGTGCCGGCTGTAGCTGGGTGATCGGCGGCGATACGGGCTGAGAGGGGAACGCGGGCTGGGAGACTTGCGATTCCGCTGGCTCTGGGAGGCCCTGTGGCTAGGTGGGCTGTCATCTCGGCAGGGACTGGGAGACGAACGTTGCCGCCTGTAGGCCCTGGGTTCGGTCTTTTCCTCACGGTAGGCCTTGGGAGGTTCCTTATAGGCCGAGGGAGGCTCTTTGCCCGCTTTCGTCCGGCTCCGGTGGGCTTTACTTTCCCGGTCCTTCCTGCTGCTGCTAGGCGAGGCAGCTGAGCCCTTCCTGCGGCCGTCGCTGCCGCCGCCGCTGCTGCTTCGAGGACCCTCTCGGTCCTGGCCGCCGCTGTGGTTGTGGCGGCTGCGGGACTTGGAGGAGGAAGAGGAAGCCTCGGCTCCCCCCCTGGCAACCGCGGCCGCCCCCTCCTGCTGTGGCGGCGCCTTGTCTTTGTCCTCCCCCCGTCGGCGATGCTCCCGGTGCCGCTCGCGGGAGCGGCGCCCACTGCTGCTGCGGTGCTCCCTGCGTGGCCGCCGGCTGCTCCGATCCGCCTCGGTGCGGCTCGGGCGTTGTTGGCTCCCGCCGCCGCCACCGGAGGAGGCCGGGCTCCCCCCGCCGCTCCCCGCCCCGGCCGTCCCGCCGCCCAGCGGCCCCTCCGACTGGGAGCTTACGTCGTCGTACTCCTCAGCCGCCGCCTCCACCAGCGGCCCCAGGCCCGCCCCGCTCCCGCGTCGCTCCGAGGCCGCAAGGCCAGCCCCGGAGCCACCTCCACCAGCACCCCCTAACCTGCCGCGCCGCCGCTTGTGCCGGGATCCCGAACGCCGCTTGCCCCGCGGCCGCTTCCGCTCCCCCCCTTCCCCACAGCAGGAGGAGGCGGCGCCGCCGGTGGCCGCCAGGAACAGCAGGGACTGCGGCGGCAGCGGCGGCTGCAGGAGCGAGGGCTGCAGCAGCGGGAACAGCAGCGAAGGGGCCGGCGGGCCCGCCACGGGCGAGGGAGGCAGCGGGGGCGCCTGCTGCGCCGAAGCGTAGCGCTTCCGCCGCCGGTGATGCAACCGCTTCTTCTCCGCCACCGGCGATTCGGAGCCGCCCCAGCTCCGGACACCGCTCCCGCCTCCGGACGTCGCCGCCTCCGAGGTACTCGGCATCGGGATCGCTCCGGAAAACAAGAATCCGTCAAGGCGCCCACAAGGAGGAGGAGAAGGAAGCAGCGGCCGCCGCCATTTGGTGGGGAGGCCCCCTCGCCCGGCTCCGCTCCGTACGACAAATCCCGAGCACCGGCCTTTTCGTCACATGGAAAGGAAGCACTCCTAGGAGGGTTTATTTGGGCCGACCGCCCTTTCTCCGCTTCCGCTTCCAAAACAGGCTCCTAAAACCCACACCGGCGGCCTCCACTTCGCCTGACACAAACTCGCCCCATTTCCAGGCCAGGCGCCGAGTGCGGCCTGCGCGCTTCTCCTCTTGGCGCTTCTGCCACGAACGTCTCCTCAGCCTGCCCGCTAACACTTCGTATCCCGGTGCCGCCGCCTCTGCCCAAGGCTTGTCGTCTCGCTCGGTGTCCAATATGGAAGGTGAGGGAGGGAGGAGAAGAGCGACCGCCAAACGGTCTCCGTAGCTCGCTCTCTGCGCTTCTCTCTCACTCACACACACACACAGAAAGAGACAGAAGGGAGACGGCCGGCGCAGCTGCCAGAACTGCGCGTGCGCGTCCGCGTTGAAGCAAGAAGAAACGAGCCTATCTCTAAGCTGGAGAGTTCGGTTCGCTCTTTCTCCAATCGAAGGCAGCAAGAGCTCGCGAGACTTTCTTGCTCCTTCTTCTCCCTCCCCTTCAATACCGGAACATTCGATAGGCAACTTCCGAACGTATCCTCGCTCGTAGAACTCATAGGGACGGACTCAATCGTTCCGCCACAACTCTTCCGGTTCCTGATTGCTCTTGCTTAGCACCTCCATATGCGGTGCAAGAGCAGAGGAGCTGCGTAGGAATAAGGGAATATTTACATAAATTACATTGCTTAGGTCTTTGAAATTATAACATTTAGGATTCAAAAGAAGTCCTTCTTTTTCCCCTCTTCCAGGACTTCTGTACTTATAAGGCATTTGTAAGAAACAAAAATTCTACATACGGGGGAGGGCAGACTTCACCTGTTGAATGTCTCTTGTGTTGTTTAGAATTTTAAAGGTGCAGGAGTTTAACATAAAACCCCACTTTTTTGGAAAGTACACCGAAAACATCAGTCCAACGCCAAACAGGGCAGTTGTGGATAGGACATTCTGGAGAGCTTTCATTCATAGGATCCTCCTAAATCAGAGATGAACTGACAGCACAGAAGCAGCAGCTGCAGCAACGAGTTCTGTTCCTGAGATTGTCTTTAAGTTGATTTTTATTTGTATGCATGCATATAAAACATTTAAGAAACACTCCCATATATGCCAAAACATCTTAAACACAATAGAGCAGTTTAATAATGATAATAATACAGAAATAATAACGTAACTGTAGGTACTGAAGAGAGAGAGAGAATCTGATTGTTGAATAAATCCTAATGCATTGCTAACGACTGATGGCATCTCACCTTTCTCTGATTGCTTTATTATTTCCACTTTAGTTTCGATTGTGATTGTTTTTCTTTTCTTCGGTGCATCACCTGCACTTGCACTGGATTAACGCTGGATTAAGGCATGGTTACAAACCAAATACAGTGGTACCTTGGCTCACGAATTTAATCCCCATAAGATTCAATGTTAATAAGGTTAATCTGTTCTGGCGCTCCAAATGTGGTTGTGAGCCAATTTTTGGTCGCAAGCCAAGTCAAATTTCCCCATAAGGTTCAATGTAAATAAGGTTAATCCATCCTGTAACTATTTTTATCAGAAATTTTGAAACAAAGTGACAAAGAACAAAGTAACAACGTACTGTACAGTACAGGGGAGAACACTAACCTAGGTGGGGGGGGTGATTCTTCTGTTGAGGGAGAGTCCCCCTCCATAAGGACATTGGGGAGATCTCTTTCAGGGGTTTCCTCTCTTTGTCTCTTAGCTGCAGGGTCAATTTTGGTGAAAAATCTGTCTATAGTCACTTGTTTTTTCATGCGCTGCATAACCCTCTGGAAATGAGAGACCACGTTATTGTTCATCAGATTCAACACTCTGTTCGTTACATTTATGTTGGGGTGGTACTTCTCAAAGAAACCCTGGCATGGGCGCACTGCTGCAGGAAAGACCATCCTGCAATCTCAGCCATCTCCCCCCCCACCCCCACAACCAGCACGATCATGGCCATCTCCCCACCCCCACCCCGAGTGGGGAGATGGCCAGGATCGCAGTTGCGTTCATGCAGGGAAGATGTGCGTGATCACGGGTGCGCTCCTGCAGGAAAGACGGGCGCAGCACAGCACAGCCATGATCACACATGTGTTCCCTGTACGAACGCAACTGCGATCGTGGCCATCTCCCCACTCGGAGGCGGGGGGGGGGGGGGGATGGCTGCGATCTTGGTCACCTCCCAAAGCGGAGTTTGTGACCCAACTCAAAATTTTCATGAAATTTTTCTTCGTGAGTCAAGGCGTTCGTGAGCCAAGGCACCACTGTACAATACAAAGGCAACACTAATTAACATGTGACCCAAAACACTCTGGCTTGGATACACTAATTCTGCCATGGAACTAGTTCTGACTTAGCTTCCTGCTGCTTTTTCCCTCCTCCTTCCCTTTCCCTTCTTCCTTCTGCTTTTTCCCTCCTCCTTCCCTTTCCCTTCTTCCTTCTTTCCCTTCCTCCCTTCCTATTCTTCCCTTCCTTCCTCCTTTCCTTTCTTTGCCATCCGGTGCCTGTGAGTGCCTGCTTGCTGCTTGAGGATGAGGCAGAACTTCTGGGTTTGCTTGTTCATAAGTACGGGTTGTTCATAACATGAATGTTCACAACTAGGAGACTGGGTGTACATTAGGCTTTTCACTTGAAACCCAATGCTATGTATGTCAAAATTACTGCAACGGGGTGTTGGTGGGCCTTGTGGGATTGTATAAATCTTTTGCCAGTTCTCCCTTTCTGGCCCATATTCTGAATCTGAAGGACAAACACAAGGTGTACTTCTGAATCCAAGTGTATCAGGAACAATATAAAACACAATGCAATGTATTATGTCTGTTAAAATTGGGACTTCAAATGTCATTTGGTCCAGGAAAAAATGAATCAATACGGTATCACCCTTGAAAACTGAGGGTTAAACTTTAGGTTGCATTCATTTCATATTGAAGGATGGCTATTGTTTTATTTTAGAGTTCATACAAGTAGCTCCAATTTGGATTAAAAGCATCTCATATGGGGAAGGGAAGATTCAACAACATAAAGATATAAAAGGGAGGAAAGCCTCCATTGACACCAGCTGAGCCTTTTCTTCTTTGCTTTGTTTTTTAACCACCATGTAATCTAGTGAAAGGAGGTGGGATTTCGGAAGGGCAGGGGTGATCACATCCAGCATGATCAAAATAGATGTGCAGCTTGACCCTAAGATATGAGAGTGAAGGCCAGATGTGCAACACAACATTCTACCTTGCAAGGATGAGAAAATGTCAGTCCCATATCCATTCTCAAGGAAAGATTTGCTTTGAGTATTTTTTTAGACACTCAGGGTCTAAACATGTTGAGATGCAGGGATAACCTAGGGAGCCACATACTTTTAAAACCAGGAATTATGGGGTTTGTTCAAACCGCTATGCCAAGGCAAAATGTTATCAGTGTACCCTTTTCAAGGTCTTAGGACTTGAGAGTGGAGAATTTAATCAGAAAAAAGTGGGTGGCTAGTGCAAGAAGGCAAAGTGGATTCCTCTTTATAACCTTGAAGAAAGAATCCCAGGAAAGAACAGAACACAACTGGCACCCAAGCCAAGAGAAGCAAAATCAGGAGACAGAGATGAGGTGACAATTGGAGGTGCCACTGCTGGTATTTGAAGAACCTCAGAAGATCAATAGACCATTATGTTTTTGTCAGGAAGGAAATAAAACCAGGACAGGGCTTCTTCTAATGCTCCTTGGGTGCAAACACTGGGCTTGTTTTATAGGGTCATTTTGTAGTGGTTAATGCTTTCCTCCCCAGTTAGACAGCCTCTTCCCATCCCTGGATAATATTGATGCTACCCATGTTTTCACACAATAATACCAGTTTCATCTATACAAGTGTCTGGGGATGGCATGAACTTTCCCCTTGGAGCTAGCTCATAACCTGCCTAGTTTGTCATTTGCTGAACTTAGCCAATGCACTATCTTGCCTATTTGATACAAAGCTTCAGGCACAGTCCCATACCCAAGCCCTTGGTGTACATAAACCTCCAAGCTCAGAGGCTTATATGTATCCCATGCTTGGACGAAAGTGCAGGGGTGGTGATCTCTGGGGCCACCACAGCGTGCCTCAGGGTATTTGTTTTCTAGATGGTCATTTTCAGCTTATCTCAATTTAGTGCTGGGAATGAGGAGGAGAGAAGGCTGAGACATCCATATAGGAATCAATATGAGTCCTTGGCCCCAGCCTCCATTCCCACCCTGCCACTGGCATGTCCCTTTTTCCAGTTGGGAACCCTTTTTGTAAGGGGTTGCAAGGGGCTAAGCCTTCGGAGTTCCAGCTCTGAGATTATAGGATCTTAGAGCTAGGACCCTGAAAAAGCCTGTGTTGGGAAGCCATAGGGTTGTGCCTTTATATGTTTCATTTTAGCACTTGCTTCATGCAGGGTCTTTTGCAGGATTATGTTGAAGAGACATAGTACATGAGCATGAATGAGAGGACAAACTCCAGGGCTAGGTGAGCTTCGGTCAAGGAAATATTCTGGATTCAGCAGTGTGGTAAAGGATTGCAAAGCATTTCCAACACTGCTGTTTTTTTGAATCAAGAAACAAAAAACATCAAAGCAATTATGTCTCTTTTCAGCTATCATGGAACACCCAACTTGAATAGTTTCCCAGAACACCTTGTCAAAATGGGGCACTGATTCCACCATTTGATCCGGTACTCATGATTTTCAACATTGGGTAAAATCCAAAAATGTGAGTGGGTACTTTCAGACAACAATTTGCACAGCAACCTGCTTTTGAAATATAGGTGACTTTTGAGGAAAAAATGCCATATATCTGTGAGTTACAGGTGGGAAGGGTTGCTGTT